CAACAGAAATCACTTAGCAATGCATCACACACTATTCCTGATTATGCAGGAATATCAAGTAATTGAAGAGAAATAATATGCATCCACGACTAGGATTTTTATCAGGATGTATCCATTCCTGTTTCCTCCAGATTGATATGTATTCATCTTCAAAGCTGACGACTACAAGCCACACAGTTAACTTAAAACTCTGATGTTGCACTGGTGAATCATTCCATATATGGCTTTCACTACCCCTATTCAGGAAGCTTCTTCAGTACTTTAAATCAACATCCTCAAGTTGTTAACAGTACACTGTACAAACAGAGAGTATTTTTAAAAGATGTATGGTGTGGGTCATTCAGTGTGTTCACCCTCAAACTGTTCAGTAAAGCAGGCTCACTTCCCAGAAAAGATGCTGCCTCATCAAAACTTCAGTTATTTCAGCCTTGATCTAAATCCAAATTCCACAACTAGCCTTTTATCTTGACAGCAAGCCAAACCTTTCTTCAGATACCGCTACACTTTCTGAACTGCACAGAAACCCATGCTGAGGTTTGTGACTCATGCCCATTATTCGTTTAGTCAGATTACAGACTATTTTGACGTCTGGTTCTCAATACAGTGCTGCAGTGTTTAAGACATGGATAGGAATTGTGAAAGAGGGGGCTGTTAACCCCAATTTTATCATCACAGACTTTTACAGGCCTACCTGCAGAGGGTCTCTACCAGCAGAAATGCTGTAAGACCCCCAGATCAACCTTAAACTCTCATGAAATCCTATCAGTGAGCTACAACTGCCCTTTCACCTAGCTCTTCCTCCTTCCTTCTGAGCTCATCTGGCTAACAAGTCAGAAGTGAGGACACCTGTGCACAAAGCATTGAAGCTGGGAGATTATTTGCTAACTCTGGAGATTTAGCTCCCACCTGAAGCACCTGCTGTGGCCCTCAATCCACTACCGGTGGCCCCTGATTCACCTTTTAGCTATTTGTTCTGTTAGCGTCATTGGAGAAGTATGTAATGCAAGGAGCACAGCCTGTCTTCCTCCCACACGTGGCTTTCCGGAAACTGACGCTCCCAGCCTTCTCCACCGGGGTGTTGCAGAGTTGCAAAGCTCCTACTGCGGCCTCAGAGTGGCATCTAGTGCTCAGCCACAGCACTGTTCTTCATCAACGCTCCTCAGTAGATCCCCTGCTCTGCCACTGCTCCTGCAGAGATCAGTCCACCCACTGCCCGCAAACCACGGTCAAGGCCTTGGTCTTGGATAGCAAGCAAAATACCTGGGTTACCAGGAAAGGAAATGAGTGCGCTTCTCCCAAACTGCAGGATTAACTGATCCCATTGGGAAGTAATGAGTAGTACAGTAAAATAAAAAAGGCAGTAAACTTCCCCTTCTTGTTAACCAAACTCTGCTATATGAAGAGGATAATTCCTATAATAAAGCCCAAACTAGAAGAGGGCAAGTTGTATTTAGCAACATTCACCCTCCACTGGACACGTGTTACAGTTTTACTAACATGTTACCTATGGAAAGCTGACTGAAATTACTACACATTTCTTCACAGGCCTGTTCTCACATACTGCAGCTTCTGTTCACTGCTACTCACAACAGATCTGTCTCCTAACCTTAAGTTTTCAAACTCATTTTTCCTCTCCTTCTCTGTGACAGTCAAATCTAAAAAGCAGAACCCTCCAAGAGAAGGGCAGCAAAAGAAGACAAGGAATCTGATGCACAACCACAACATATTTTCCAGATATCAGATATAAGAGCCATCAGAATATGAAAGACACAAATTGCTGGAACTCTTGAAGGAACTCTTGAAGGCAGCATACTTTTTTTTTTTTGAAAAAAAAAAAAAAAGGTTAATTTTTATTCTGTGATTTACTGAAGTATTATTTATTGTGTTCAATTTAATCAGAATGTTCTGCAGGCAGGTACATTATCCCAGTCAAGTACATTTCCTCTTTTCAGTCTTCCAGAGATGAAGTGGTTGAGTATATTAAAGAAAGGCTACATAATTACATGAGAAGTGTGTAGCTTTTTAATACACTTTCCAGTAGAAGATCTCCAAGTGTTTTAAGAAAAAAAGGCCAAATGTTGCTTGTCTTCCTTTGTCTATCTGTGAAATGAGGATAAATACCTAAAGACGGAGGAGGTGAGGCTCAGAACCCAAACGTCCTGAGCTCTTCCCAGCACAGAAATAGATTTTTGCCATTAAATCCAAACAAAAGAAATACAAAATACAAAAGAAATACAAAAGAAATCAGAGATAGCAGTAAGACGGAGTGCTTAAATCATGTTCCGATCCTCTCCATATTTTAGTTCTGCCAACTGCAGAAGTCAAGCATTTGTTATGTAAATTCAGAGACACATTCAAATATAGCTAGGTATGTACCCTTATTTTCCAGTTCTTAAAATTCCTCTAAATTAGGGAAAGCCTTCTTCATGTTTGAATATTGCCCGTTACCTGCTACAAAAAATAGAAGATGAAAATATCTTTCATGTATGACAGATCCTGTCAATATTTTTTCTATAAAACACATGACAAACTAACAAGCTTCCAATAAATTAAACTGAAAACACTTTGGCCTTGTCCTGGCAAACTGTCCAACACCTACACTGGCACATGGCTGAGAAGAAATACTGCCAGGTCAGAAAGTTCTTGGCAGTAGGGTACGCATTCATGGCTAAAATGCAAGAAATCACAACATTTTAAAGCTCGCAAAAGCTGTGCAATATAGAGCACAGCACACTGACATGATCTGCACCCAGGAAAGCCACCTCCAAGAACTCAGCAGTCTAAAAGCTCCTCATAGCTGTCAGATCATCTGATATTCTCAGAAGTTTTTTGCTATTACTACCAACTTTGAAATTACTTCTTCCACTGGCTTAAGTACATCACCATCCTATATAACAGCATCAAGGGCCTTTTACAGAACAAAACCCTCTTCAGGGCTCTTCAGTAGCATCTTCTTATTGCTCCTTTACAGTTCACCAAATCAAAGGAACAGCTCAAGACACCCTGGCCCCTTATAGACTGGCTTAGCCCAACATGTAATCAGAGACTGGAAAAACCCTTCGTTCACCTTTTCTATTTTATTTCCCCTCCAACAAACGCTTCCAAGTAGCACACTTCTAACTGTAGGATGAGTCAGGGAATACAAATTCCTGACTCCTTTTGCTGGCTCTGACACAGAATTTCTGGAAACAGTCGTCATCTTTCTCTACTCCAGCCTACTGTATATAAAATTATAAACCACAAATGTAAAGCACACTGAATTCCCTGACAGAATTATGAAAAATTATTCACTTACTTGTTATTCATGTACTTTACTATTTATTTTTAGATGAACTGCCCATTTCTTTGTCACAAAAAGAATAAGTTTTTATACCTGTGAACACTACAAAGCTAAGTAAGTCACAGTACAGGAATGAAACAGAACCTTTTGTCACAGACAACCTCAGAATTGTCTGTCACTTGACTACAAGACCTTTGCAGCTGTGATAAGATGTACATGTAGCAGTAAGAAACCAATAAAATATTCACACAGAATTTTCCTGTTACCAAGGAAGAGTAAAGACAAAAAGACTCTAATAAATCTAATTGTCACCTTGAGATGCAGATTAATTTACCTGTACGACTCTGAAATTGTAACAGTATTTTTCCCAGGAGCAATGGAAATAAACCTCTTTTGGATTTCAAATTAAGCACATTTGTAATCAACTGCGAAAGGAATATGAGAGCACAGCAATAGCATTTTCAGAGTTGATGATTTAAGCTTCCAGTTGTCTGCCTTCTGTAATATACCCAGGAGAGGGCTCCACGACCCCAGTCTTGCTCACTGTCCTGAAAAGCAGTCATCTCCCGAAGTGCCTGCAAAATTGCAATTGGAGTTGGAATCTTCTTGGGCTGGAGCTGAAAATCTGGGAGCAGTGTGCGCCTTCAGAGGGGTGTACAGAAGTTGTTTAAACTTCTGGAAAGCTCTGAGATTAAACCCTCACTGCTGTTTATAAAAAAAAAAAAAAAAAAAAAAAGGATTTTATTCTCAAAATACACTTACTCTAAATTGCAAAACCTGGTGTCTCTAGAGAACTGAAGATAAACCACAATTAAAAATGCAGTTTGGTTAGTAAGAATCAAAGCAGTAGACAAAAATTAAAGCTATGCACTCATATTCTAGTCTTAACAACAGGAAAAAGAAAATATTTTGAACAGTCCCAAGGACACATATGAACTTGTGATAGAATTAACTATAAAAATGGGAAATAAGGGTGGAATATCAAGAAACACACACCACAAATGAGTACCTGTTTTCAGATTAAGCCCCATCACTGAAGCCTTTTGAAGCCAGAGCATGCAAAAACTGCAGAATACCCAGTATAGGAAACATGCCTGCATTAAGTAGGGAGCAAAACCAAGTGGAAAGGATGCCTTTTTGTTCTCTAATTTAAAATCAAATATAAAACAGAAGCACATGTAACAGTAAAATTACTCACATACAAATATCATCTACCTACATATTAAAATGCCACAGAACAAACTTATGCCAAATACATTATGCAACAAGGAGTTAATAATAAGATGGAGAAAGAACAATTTTCCTCTGGCTTGATTCAACACACTTGCATTATTCATCACACACAAATCTGAGAGAATGTGAATCCCATCAAATAACGAGATGGTGCGTGAAGTTCCCTGGCTTGCAGCAGCCTGTGACTGACGGGTATAAGGACTCTCCAAGAGCCATTTCCTGCGCTGTCTCTGCCTTCCATCCGGACCCTCCGGGAAGGGTGTGTTTTGTGTTTGTATAGGGAAGCCCTGGGGAGTTTTTGTTGAGCTTTAGGACAAACCCCTCTGACTTAAATTAGGGAGCTATTAGATGCCATATTTGTTCCAGTATCTACTACCAGTACTACAACATTGGTCATTTTCCATGAGTATAAATGAAAACAGAAAGTATGCTAAAAGAGAGAAGTCCGAGCAGCTACGGGAGAATTTTTAGTGGCATTTGAACTTACTTAGATTCTCCGAGACATCTGCTTCAAAGCCCATTGTGGTTTTCTCCTCCCTTCATTACCCCAGGATACAGTGCCAATCATAAGCCATGTTGATGGTAAATTTCAAAGTATTTACAGTAGAAAAAAAAGAACACGATGACAAAAGCAGAGATCCTGCCTGTTGTTCTGAAACCTGCAATTTACAAACCATAGGATTTGTAAGGATTTACACATTGTCAGAATTGGTGGCATCTGAGAACTCTTTTCTCATGGGCCTCGAGGTTTCCAAGTAAGTCAAGGAAACTACAAAGCAGGCTGCGGCGAGACAAATAACTCCTTCAGTTCTGCTGACAGAGGGTGCCATGAGCCACCTGTGGAAAAATCTGGTAACCTCATATGCTCTCATAACATCGACTAGTCCAGGAAGTTCTGTTCGAGTTCAGTCAACAATTGAGGAGAGAGGTTAGGTCAGACAGGGTAACTGCATTTTTTTCTCATAGCTTTAAAGACTGTTGATTTTTAGGGGCTTTACATGTGATTTTCCTCAAAATTTCCCCTTTCATTTCACTGCGTTGTAATTCAGTTTCTACTGTGTATCTGGCCCAGAAGCAGCTGCATTTTCATTGTGTCCTTTGTATAGTGGGGGTCACACAAGTTGAAACCCATCCTAGAAACAGCAGGCTTGTGGGGAGATTTTCGAGCCATTTCCTAAGCTAAGGTAAACCACAGATCAGAGGACAGATAATGCTGCACGGCTGATTAGTTTCAGTTAATATATAGGTAAGTGCAGGGAAAAAAATGCAGTTAAAAGCAGAAGAATTCAAAGACAGTGTATACTCCTACAGTGGAGTATATTCGCACATCAAGGGATGAATGTATATGTGTTTAAATGGAAATAAATAATGGAAACAGCCTCTGCTCTTAATGACGCTGGAGTGAGTGCGATGTTCCCTACCCAGCTGGTGGTACTCTGGATTTTTCCTGGTACTGCCAAAGCAGAATCAGACTCATTTGTTTGGTATTTAGCAACACATTACCGAGAAGCATGAGTCAGAGAATTACTATGCCTTGCTGCTTTAGCATTTTTATGAAGGAGAAGCACCTGGCATCAGAGAATGACTCCTCCACGGCTGCTCCAGGAAGTACCTACTGTCGTTGTCAGCGCCGAGTAAACCAAAGAGCCCCTCACCTGATGGGTTAAGGGGACTGCAACCAGCAAGCAGGGCAAAAGCACGGCTGCGCTGTGACTTCTCCCAGAGCTCAAAGCTGCCCTGATGCACCGTAGTCCTCCGAATTGCCAAAATAAAAGAGTAATCAGTGGCTTGGCGAGCATGGGGTGCAGCGGTTTTTAGCAGCAGAGGGAGCTGAGCCAGGAGGCTCGGCATGCAGCTCCCAGCTTCTGCAAAGACACCAGCTTGGAGAACGCCCTTCAGAAGGTGCTTCCACCCGATAAGAGCTTTGGCTAGGGAGAAGCCTCGTAGCTTGCCCGAACAGCTGAATATATACTATTTTTATGAGGGAACATATCTCTTGCACTTGGAAAAGAGCAGAATTACACTTAAGTCTGTGTTAGGGTGACTCCACAGAGCACTGCCACGTTCCCCGACCTCAGAGAGACACTGTTCTACCACAAGGTCTGGGCATGCTCGTGATGCTCACTCGCAGCCGCCACGCTGTGCCGCATCTTGTTTCCTCTCTGCCTTCACCCGTGCCCCGCGCACGCCGGGCCCGCAGTGCGGACACCGGCCTGGTCTCCGCAGGGCACAGCACGACTCGGAGCCGCTGTCAAGCACAGCCCTGAGTGGTGACCGCCTCGCACCTGCGGCCTCACGTATCCTGCCCGTAACCAACATGGCGGCTCGGGGAGCGCACCAGCGCGACACCGCTCTACCCTTCCGCGCCCGCCTCTATGGCTGGCGCCGCGCGCGACCACGTGACGTTTTCAACCGCGCCGCGCGGGACCTGCGCGCCGGGAGGGAACCAGGCCGCGGCGGCCATCAGGTGACCACCCTGACCTCACCCACGGCGTCGGGGGTGACCCTAGCAGAAAGGGGGGGCGGTGGGGCCGGGCCCGGCCACTGGCGGCAGCTTCCGCAGAGCCGTTGTGCAGCTCCCGCCTCGGCTGGTGTCTCCGCGGCGCCCCGGGGAGCGCGGGAACCGAGGGAGCCCGCGCGTTCGGCTGAACTCTGGGGTCCGCAGCGTGGGAACGCGGCTGCAGGTGCGCGGTGGGAGGTACCGGAGCGGGAGGCGTGCGTAACGGAAGCGTCTGCAGGCCGAGGTCTGGGCACCGGCACCGCACGGCCGTCACCGACTGCGGTGTGAGCTGACGCGTTTTTGCACGTGGGTCGCGGAGGCTCCGGCTGCGCTCGGTGTTGTTTCTGGGGCTCGGTTTCCAAATTCTGTCAAGCCTCATGGGATAACTCTTGTCCGCTAGCGAGGGGGGACAGACCCCGTGGAAATCAGTAGTGGCCCAGAGCTGCTCAGCTGATGGGTTGGGGTGAGATTACGGCTCCAGGTGACCACCAGGCATTCATCCAGTGTAGGGGCTTGTGATGCAGTAGCCGTGGTAATGTGCCCAAGCACAGTGAAGCTGCAGAGGGGAAGCCTGGCCATCACTTTCTGGTATTTATGGTTAAAGTCACCAGCAACAAGTCCTGCTTCACAGTGGCGGTGAGGCCACCAGTGCTTTTGGAATACATCAGTAGTATTCAGGGACCACTGCAGGCCTTGCTGCAGAAACTGAGTTTTGAAAAGCATCCCAGCGGGTGTGAAGGCTAACAGGTATGCTACTCTCACATCAAGTTATCCTTTCACATAGTGTATTTTATTCCAAAGGTTAAAGCTGGACTTTCTGTGTTAGGGGAAACAGTCACAAGTGACATAAAGCATAAAGACACCAATACAAAGAGAGTGACTTTGTTGTGCTCCAGCTCCAGCTAATTCAGCTTTCCTTTTCCATAAAGGACTTGCTCCCTCATTGATGGCTTGGGCCAAACAGCCATAGGATGGACCCTTGACTCTTCCACAGGCACTGAAGCGACTTTGTAAACACTGGTGGTGAGCTGAGGTCCTGGCACAGGCGGTACTTCTGCTCAGCTAAGGAACCTGTGTCAGCAGAGCACCCAAGTGCAGTCCCCTGTAGATATGGGGGGAGGGAAGAGGTTGGCCACTGGCATTACCATATTGTATTACTGCAGTTAGTAGGACTAAGTTGTTAACAAAACCCTGGCTTTAATGTTAGAGCATTAGGCAGTTAATTGTGTTAACGTGCACAATGCCCTCAGCCTGCTTTCCTGTAGCACCCACACTGCGAAAGTCCTTTCAGGGACTTTTCGCAAGCAAAACAAAAAATGGGAGCTCTGAAATTATATCTGTAAGGTGTTGCTTGGCCCGGAAAGTTTTCTTCTAAGCCAGCAAAGTTTCAAGAGGTAAAATAGTTCAGTGGAATGTAGCCACAGTTCATGCTCTGTCTCTGGCTTTTGAGAGATTTCCTCTGAGGCTGCATATCTCGGGCTGCACTGAGAGCTCCTTATATCCCAGGGATCTGCACTTCCCCAAGGACAGGCACGTATGCATACACACACAGAGCTGTGTGAGACATGGTCTGTGATTTCTTGTAACAAGCTTTTGGAGAGAGCATAGTGAGCCACCCTTGTCCCATTACTTACTCAGGAATAATTGCTGCAACTTGAGCTAAAGGAGCCTTCTCGAGGTCTTTTAGTCAGTCCCTCAGCCAGATCAGATTTACTTAAACTGTCTAGCCTGTTCTGAGAAACATCCAAGGCATACAACACCCACCTCCTTCCACTTGAAGAAACCTGAAGTTATTGGTAGGCAAATTTATGATCTCATAAAAGTTGATACACATCAAAATGGCAGTTCCTCTTGGCTCAGAAACATCTTCCTAAATTGTCTGTCTTGTTAACATAAAGTCCAAGGCACAATCAGTCATTTCCATCTGGTCACACTGACATTTGAGAATGATTACTGACATTTGAGTTGAAAGAGCCTTTGGAAATGATCTAGCTTTATGTAAATGTTTCAGATTTTTACCATTTGTTTCTTTTTAAGGAAGGCAGATTCATATGAGTTGTACAAAAAGGAGCTTGAATATAGCGTAAGTAGATATTTCAGACACCACAAGGATAACAAGGCTTTTAGAGGAGTATTATTTCTACAGCAGTTTAAAAACAAAACAAAACAAAGCCATCACAAAACCAACAAATCTGACATTAACATGTTAGGAGGGAAAATGCAAGGGTGATGGAGGTTACTACATCCTCAAGACAGACAGTAGGGTGGCAAACAGTTGAGCTGCTGGGCAAAGTATCTAGTACAAAACCGAGTAATTTTCACACTTTTAAGAACTGGTACAATTTTTCTCTGAGGTGAGGAAATTCATATGTGATATTATGTGGCTCACTCCTGATATTTCAAACCAAGTCTGTCTTAATGAGGTGACATTCAGTGCTCCAATACTTTTTCACTCTTTAATAATAAACCCCAGTGTTTAAAGACTGAAAAGTGACAGGGGTTTCCAAAGGTTGAAGGTCTCTTGTTCTGACAGTGCAAGACTGTGAGACTGTAGCTAAGGGCAGAGCAATGGCAATACCATTTCTTGACTATATGTTTTGAAGAAATAGATTCAGTGCAAAACGTTAAGCAGAGCCCACATTATAATGACAAGAAATGCAGAAGGACTTTCATAGGTATGTTTGAATTGACAAACAAATACTGAAGTGATCTTAAAATCCTCATTGCAATTATAGGTGGAAGTTTAAAGCAATGATAACACTTTTCAGTAAAATTGAATTCTCAGGAGAGTGTTTCTCCTGCATTTGGGTTTTAGATTGTTCTGTGCATTATAAATCCCTCCTTCACAAAACTGTGCACTTAGGATAAGCCCTTCTAGTAAATCTCCCCCTTACCTACAGCAGGTCCCCACTAGGAAAAAATTGGCATTTGCAGGTATATGCCTCAGGTGTATTGGTGTGCTGTTATGTAATTCTGAAGTTGGCTGTGGGGAAAGGACATGCAGCAACACCAGTTTATTCCTTCAAGAATCCATTTTCAAGTGTTTGTATATATGTTTTTAACCAGCTCTATTTCAAGAAAATACGCACC